GTCATGTGGCCAGGTCAATGTCTTCCTTATTAGTTGGTTTAAATTGGTCAGTACTTCCAGGGTTGCATGGGTTTCCTGAAACACCTCAATTGATATTCCATCAATAACTAGGGTGCTATTTTTTGCCAATGCTGCCATTGCCCTTCACCTTCCTCCCTCAGTACTGTATCAGTTCTTTGTATCCTACTTTCTGAAATGGCTAAAAGCTGACTCATTCTTTTTGGTGTAGTAACTCTGTGTTCCATCTTCTTTTCATTCTTTTCTGCACCATTCAAGATTTTGTTCCTAGAACTTTTTAGTATTGCAACTCAAGTTTTGAATTTATTCTTCGGTTCTGTCAGCTTGAGAAAGTATCTTTTGAATGTTTTTTCTTTTTGGTTTTCTAACTCCAGTTCCTTACTCTTTTCATTATACTTTGCTTGTTTTCTTGAGCTGCCTTTTCAAATATTCTGTCCAGGACTCTCACTTCAGCATTCCTTGCACTTATTTTAGCTTCTTTCCCTTCTAGTGTTAGTTTCAGAGTCTCTTCTGACATCCATTTTGGTCTTTTCTTTCAATTTTTCCCTGTCTTTATAATGACTTTTTGTTTTCTTCATAACATTTTTATTATCACTCTACAACTTGTCCAGTATTTGTGCATTTGTGCTCATATATGTCAAATCTGTTCTTGAGATGTTTTTTAAATTCAGTTGGGATACAGTTAAGGTCATATTTTGATTGTTCTGGACTTGTTTCCATTTTCTTCGCCTTATCAGGCATATGAGTAGTTGAAGGTCTGTTCCACAGTCAGTCCCTGGGCTGGTTTTGACTGTTGATACTGAGCTTCTCCAAGGTCTCCTTCCAAATGTAGTCAATCTGATTTCTGTGTAGTCCATCGGGTGAAGTGTAGATATATATAGTTACCATTTACATGTTGTGGTGGTTTTTTTAATTTTCAGTGAATGAATCCTTGATTGTACAAAATTCTATCACTTGAAACTCAGCCTTCTGTCTGTCACAAAGACAGTATTTTCCACCTACTAATCCTTCTCATTTGTTTCTAATTTTTGCATTTCAATTACCACTTGTTATTCATGTATCTTGATTGCATGTTCTATCAATTTCAGACTTCAAAATTTGGCAAGAAATCCTTAATTTCTTCAAATTTGGCTGTTGTGGTTGGTGTATGTGAGGAGTAGTTGTATTAAATGTATGGACAACATCCTATCTACCACTTGCATCACCGTACTTTAGGATAGCTCTTGAAATGCTCTTTTTTATGGTGTGCGGTACACCATTCCTCTTCAGTTGTCATTTCTAGTGTAGGAGGTCATGGTATTTTCTGATTCAGAATGACCAATACCAGTCCATCTCAGCTGTCTTCTGCCTAGGGTGTTAATCTTTATGCATGGCATTTTATCTTTTCACAAATTCCAATTTTTCTACATTGCTACTTCATACAATTTCATATTCTAATTATTAATGGGTTTTTGCAGATGTTTCTTTTCATTTGAGTCTTGTCACAAAGTAAATAAAGGTCCTTGACTGGGTGAAAGAAAGCTTTATACCGTTGGGGCCGTTATGATGGACAGTGTTGAGGAAGCAGCAGGTGTATTGGAGTGCCTTCCAACCTGAGGGCTTACCTACTGGCACTGTACCAGACAATGCTCTTTCATTGTCTCGAGTTTGGGAAGGCCTGTTATTTCAGAAGTAACTCTGCTAAAACCTGGTGGTGTAGAGTATAACATATTAATTAGGCTACGAACAGAAATACTGGCTGTTTGAATCCATCAGTTGCTTCATAGGAGAAAAATGAACAATGTCCTCTCATAAAGGTTTATAGCCTCGGAACCCTGAGGGAGGGTTGCCAGAATCAGAATAGACTCTGCAATAGTGGTTTATCCCAGTCCTTGTGTGGGAATCGCAGAGAAGATTCTAGAAGGGTATCAAATCATTCTCTGCTCTGCAGAGGCCAAAGTGGGCAGAGGATGAGAGGAAGACCTTCCCATACTGCACCATGATTTGGGATCACCCCTTGTAGTCTTTTTGTGAAGTCTGAGAAGTCCATGGCTGATTACCTGCAAACACAGTCATAGGCAGACTTCTCATGTGCGCAGTGTGATCCAATAGTGGGCAGTTGGGACCTACCATTGTTTAGAAGGAGGGGATGGAAAATAAGTTGAAGGAAGGCAATGCATGGATAAGTAGACATGTGCACCCCGCTTTGAGCTTCCTATGGAGAGAGTGTGGACTGTGGGACCAGGAACTAGGGACTCCAGATTTAGCCACAGTATTTAATTTCTTAAAAAAAATGGTTATGTTATTTCCATTTGGAGAGATGCATGCATGAGTACTTGTTATTTTACCCGTTTAGTTTTTCATAAATAAAGATGGAAAAGTAATGTTTTGCTACCCACCTTGCTTGGGTCTACAGACCCTGCCGATGGGCCATGGCCTCAGCTGCTGGGCCCTCTCTGGGCTTCTTGTCCTTACCTTTCTGTAGGAATGACCAGGGGTCTGTGAAACTTTGCATGCTTGGCTTCTCAGTGCCAAGCTTCACTGTCGTAAGCATCCTCCTGGCCTTTGCCTGCCACGCCCCACCCCCCCGCTGGGAGGACCCTTTCCATGCTTGGTGGAAAATCTTGCACTTACTCCAGTTCATCTTTTTGTTTGTTTGTTTTTCAAAGTTTTTATTGTTGGATGCAGATGGACTTTAGATCTTGTTGAAAGCAGCCATGTCCATGGACTGCACATAGTCTTCAAAAGCAGTTACCTGTTCTTCCTGCATATCTGTGGCAACTTTATAGTCTTCAACTACACACTGTATCTGAAGCTTCTTAATTCCATATCCCACTGGTCCAAGCTGTCTGCCTGGATACTTCCGACACATTCTTCCAGTTTTGCCATGTCGGTTTCATCATCCCAAGGCTTCACAGCTAGTAAGATTGAAAACTTGGCAACAAGTGTAGTTTTTTTGGCTTTCTTTGATCCATACTGTGCATGATGTTCTTCTCTTAGCTTCTTTGTTTCCTCACTTTCCTCCTCAGATCCACAGAGATCAATGTCGTTGTCACCTATACTGTCTGCAGCTCCACTTCCTGTGGTATCTTCCACATCAGCAGGGCCATACTTGCCCAATGCTTTCTTCTCCCCTGGCAGGCTGGCCTTTTCCTTCTTGTAAGATTTGATGTAATTATACCAATCTAGGTGTGACACAGTTCGACAGGTGAGGGGCTGGAAATGGCTTCAAACACTACCACATCTGCTTGCAATGGCACATGCCCCTCGATGTAACTCTTGTCGCCCAGGTAATCATTGAGGACCTGGAGGCCAGCGGCAGTCTTGAGGTCTCTGAAGCCTATGATATCAGCTGTTTGTAGAGCTGGGTGGCAGCAGAGGCCAAAAGAAGGAAGTTGGCCCCAAGCACTCAAAAGGGGGGCGGGGGGAAGCCCAGTTCATAATTTTTAAGGCCCAACCCTGCTCAGCAGCTGTGTCTTGAAAGTCTTCCTGGAGAACACTGTGCCATAAGCAGTCTCCCCCAGAGGCCCCGTGTGTGTGTGTGTGTGTGTGTGTAGATATGCCCTGTGTCATGGGATGCTGTCTGGCCTCCACTCTGTGTGCCCGTGTGCATGCACGCGTGTACATATGTTCATGCTTATGTGCCTACATGTCCGTGCACATGTGTCTCCCTGTGTGTGTTTCTGTGTGCGTGTGTACATATGTTCATGTTTATGTGTCTCCCTGTGTGTGTGTATCCATGTACTGTGCACAGAGGGGGAAGCAAGGTGGGCATGCACCATGCTCTTTTCCACACAGATCCTGACTGGGGAGGACTGGAATGCAGTGATGTATCATGGCATCGAGTCACAAGGTGGGGTCAGCAAAGGCATGTTCTCATCCTTTTACTTCATCGTCCTGACGCTGTTTGGAAATTGTATCCTTTGATGGACCGTCTTTCTAGGGTGCTTTGGTCACTTGGCAAGCTTCTCAGTAAGCACAGAGGTGTGCTCTCAAGCTGTCATTAGTTGGAAGGAGACGCAGGAAGCTCCTAGGGATATACAGGGGCAGTGGGTTCTTCTCAACTTTCGTAGAACTGAGTAATTACGTTTAAGCACTGGGCTTTAAAAACCATCCTGCTGATGGGGTTACACTTGAGGGAGGTGTTAGGGTGACTGGGTGACTGTGGAGATGCCTCCTTGTGGGTGATGCCTGCCCTGCTGGACAAGCCATGCCGAGAAGGACCAGCTCCAGGGCACCTGAAGGCAGAATTGGAGTGGCTCATGACTTTGCAGGGTGCAGAGAGTATGAGGTAGGTCCTGGTGAGGGTTTGTCCAGGCTCAGACAGACACGGGTACCTGGGAGACTATTGAAGCCAATTTGGTCCTCTCTAGGTCTGGCTCCCTGGCCTGAAGCCTGGCATGCCTAGGGGACCCTGAGACCAGGAACACCCTCTTTGGGACCATGTGGCAGAACATCCTATGGGAAGTGGTTAAGCTTGTTCTGCAGACTGATACCTTCTGGGTGCCCCATCTGTCCATCTTTCTCTCTTGGGTGAGCCCAGAGGCTTCCAGCCTATAATCCCTCTCTGCCCCCCTGTTCTAACCACAGACACTCTGATGAGAAGCCGCAGGCCTGGGCCTCTTGGGACGATGCATACTTCTCAGGACACAGAGTGTGAAGTCAGGAGAGGAGACTTGAGGGCCTGATGAGCCAGCCTTGCTTTGGAGAAGAGGGTTGGGTTGAGCTGGTGCAGGAGGATGTGGACATGCTTAGAGACAGTCAGTTGGCAGGAAGCTGGAAGGTTGCTCAGATGGGAGCCAGGGCTAGATGCCACTTCAGTGCAGTTAAGCCTGGGGCCACCCACTTGGGCCAGGAGAGTGACTTTTACCTGTCCCTGGTATGCAGCTTCCTTCTTGGTTCTGAAGGGTGTGATCTTGTCATTAGGCCTTTGAGGGTGGGTGTCCGTGCCTGTGGACAGTGTCTGGGCCATTGCAGACTTGTGAGTCCTGGGTAGAACAGGGAGCCAACAGCTTATCATGGTGGCTTACACAGAATACACCCCAGAGCCATGGAGAGTGCAGCCTCAGCAGCAAGGTCATATCTGGGGACCTTGGTATCGGTCTGGTCCTGTGGGTGCAGACTCCTTGGATTATTCGAACTGAGGATGATTACAGGGACTGGGCAGGGGAATGCCTGCAGAGCAAGCTTTGCTGCTCAGTGATGGGGTATGTCATGAAGATCACAGCAGAATATTCCTGCTTTGGGGCCCTCCCTGATACTTCTTCTTCCCCAAGGGCCTGGGGTGTTGCTGGCCAATGGCAGGCTGTCAGGATTTATGTCCACTGCATAACCGAGCATGTCCATGACGACACATATCAGGGGAGCTTGCCCCTCGAGTCCACCCCTTGGGAAGAGGAGAATGGTGAGGGTTACAGAGAAAAACTATTAAAGTGTCTGCAGCCTTGGCCCCAGTTCTTTCCATAAGGCAGAGATGACCGGGCCACATGGAGCTGGTCAGGGAGAGAATGGGAGACTTCCATGGTGGCTCCTAAGGGTGGCTCTTGTGAGCAGCGAGGAGGGTGGACGTCATGAAACAAAGGGCCAGGAAAGTGGGTGACCAGAGGCTTGGAGGCAGATGGGATTCTGGGGACACTGAGGAAGGATGCTGGAGGCTTGTGGGGATGGAGTGTTGGAGGTCTTCTTTTCTGTAGGGAAAGTGGCTGTTGAGAAGAGTGTGGGCAATGAGTAGCCTTTCCTTAGCCAGAGCCACCTAGACACCCTACTCAATGTCTTCCTGGCCATTGCAGTGGACAACTTAGCTAATGCTCAGGAGCTAACCAAGGTATGTAGTAGGTAGGGAAGCCACCTTGAGGTCAAGTGTGTGTGTGTGTGTGTGTGTGTGAGAGAGAGACAGAGATAGGGGTGGGGAGGTCCATCCATTCGCATGGGAGGTCTCTGGGGTGTGGGGTGGGGTGTGGGGTTGTGCATGCGCATGTGTATGGGGGGCAGGTCCATATCATTGATTACTGCAGCCCAAGTGCTGGGGTGGAGGAGTGGAGATGGACAGGGTGGTGGCAGCCCAGGTGGTGGATCCACATGTTAAGGCTGGAGGTGCAGAACCATGAGAAGAGCCTAGTCCTTAGAGGATTTTATACAACCTCTGTTGAAGGGGTTTATGGAAGGTTCTTCATGGGTGGTGTTTGGGGAGCTCATAGAGACCCCTTGTCAGGCGGGCAGACTCTCCAAGAATCACTGTTTAGGAGGTGTGGTCTGAGCATGAAGAAGGAGGTGGTCAGAGATGCAGCTGGCGGCAGATCTGTGGTCAGTGCAGGTTTAGAGGGAGAGGTTCTGCAAAATGAAAGGAACAGGAGGAGGCTTCTCAGGAACTCCCAGCTCTGAAAACCTACATTGCAGAGAGGGAACACCTGTGAGACCTGGGCACTAAGAGACATCTGTGCATGTTCTGGGGGTTGACAGCTGTGTGAGACTCAGGTTGGGAGAGGAGACAGGTGTGTGAGTCCCTGGCAAGAGGAGGGGACAGCTTTGGGAATCCTGTTGGGAAGAGGGGACAGTTGTGTGAGTCTCTGGTAAGAAGAGGGGACAACTGTGTGGGTCCCTGGTAAGAAGAGGGGACAGGTATGTGGGTCCCTGGTGGGAAGAGGAAACAGTTGTGTGGGAGGAGGGGACAGCTGTGTGTGTCCCCTGTGGGAGGAGAGGACAGGTATGTGAGTCTCAGGTTGAGAGGAAGGGACAGCTGTGTGAGTCCTTTTGGGAGGAGGGGACAGGTGTGTGAGTCCCTAGTGGGAGAAGATGGCTGTGTGTTCTCTCAGGTTGAAGGGGCAGTCTTGGGTGTCCCAGGCAGGACAGAAGCCCTGGGGATCATCCTCGTGTAAGTGCTGGCTTCCAGCAGTCCTTGGACCCAGGGGGGGACTTTCAGCAGCCTGGCTACTGCTGTGCCCCCTCCTTGTTATCTGTGAGCATCGTCACTAGTCTCATCCATGAGCCAGGGCATCTGTGCTGTGCCTCCCGGTGACACTGCTGTCCCCTCCTAGTCCCCTTCCCTGAAGCTGTGTCGCAGTGCTTCCAAGGCTGCGTGACTCATGGGTTCCTGGCTAGTGCCAGGCAGCCTGGCGGTGGCTGCAGTGGTGGTGTGCTTGTCCAGATCAGCGCCCCTTGGGTGTGGACGAAGTTGCAGCCTTGTCTCAGTATTCAGTGTGTGTGTGCTGCAAGCCTAGGCATACTTGTGCGTGAACATTTGTGTACAACTTCTGTATGCTGTCCTTCCCTGCACACAGCTGTGTAGGTGTCTGTTGCTGGACATGTCCACCAACCAGGACCCAGGCTCCCAGGTGCAAGGCTCCTAGGCCTTCTGTATTCTGGAGCTGAAATGGGCTCGGGCATCCCTAGCAAGGCCATTCAGATGGTTTCCAGAGCAACTAGAATCTCAGGACACTGTGAGGAAGCCTCCAGGTAGAGCCATGGCCCACCATGTGCCTGCAGCTGGCCTGTGGACTCTGGACTCCCTCCACTCGCCCCTGCCCTCTTTGCTGAAGTAATTGTTGATGGTGCTGTGCAGACTAGGTGGAAGCAAGGGGCGCTGGGTTTGGGATTGATACGTCTGAGTTGCTGTGGGACACACAAATGATAGGATACTGGAAGCTGGAGTTGGGGAGTCAGGCAGAAGCCTGGGTTGTGTATGGCTGGGCACACCTGCTGAGGATATGGGTTTATGAAGGTGCGGTGAAGCCTCAGGCTGTGTGCCTCTGGTTGGGGCTCTCGCGGCTGCTTCTAGGTGGCTGTGGGAAGCCCATACAATCCTAAGAGCCCGCTTCCAGGTCTGACAGCTGCAAGGACTGAGGACCAGCACAAGAGGTCAGAGTGCTGGGCCGGTACCAGGCTGGGTCACTGCAGCTTTCTGTCCTCCCATAGGATGAAGAAGAGATGGAAGAGGCAGCCAACCAGAAGCTTGCTCTGCAGAAGGCCAAAGAAGTGGCCGAAGTTAGTCCTATGTCTGCTGCAAACATCTCCATCGCCGCGTAAGGCCCTTGAGAGAGTACTGGGCGGGGGCTGGCCCTCCACAGGTCTCTGCCAAGGGCCCCACTAGAGGGCATAGACCACCTAGGCCAGAGCCTTTCCCCAGTGTGGACCTCAGCTTTCCTAACCCGAAGGGACCAATGTGTGAAGGGCCTCCAGGGCAGGCTGTTTGGGCCTCACACTTAGTGGGCAGTGCTTGTTGTGAGCATCCAGTCCCCTGGACAGGTGCCTGGCAGAGCCCAGCAGGACTGGACTTCTCTCCTGTGTGAGCCCTGGTATTGGTTTGGGTGAGTGGGAGCTGTGGACAGTTGTGGTGAGTGTGACTTAGGCCATTTTGGAGTGTGTCTTTTCAGCCAAGGAATGATAGGCAGTGCCTCAGTGACCCATGAGGTGTAGCAGCTTCCCAGATGATTGTCTATCTGGATGTTGGGACAGAAGCTGAAGGCTGTGGGGATGCTCTGTAGGGGAGATCTAGAGTCCCAGGAGAGCTCCCCAACAAAGGCCGAGGGCTGCAGCAGGGGGCACAGTCATCATGGAGTGGACATCTGGAGGTGACAGAAAGATCTGGTCCAGAGCAGCCTCAGAGGAGATGCTTCCTGCTTGAGTTGCACTCTGACTCAGGCCATGTACAATCTCAGCTATAACTCCATCTTCTAGATCCCTGGACACCCTGGCTCTGTCAAAGGCCTTGGCTATTGTGGGCCCTATCGAAGGCCCCTGGGCACTGTGGGCATGCACCATCTGAGCCCTGGGCACTGTGGACATGCACCGTCAGAGCCTTGGGCTCTGTGGGCTCAGTTTGAACCCTGGGGACTGTGGGCTCTGTCTGAGTCCTGAGCAGTGTGGGCTCCATCTGAGGCAATGACACTGTGAATTCCATGTTCTGGGTCCCTGACACCATGGGCTCCACACTCAACAGTGGACCTGTGCCTTTGTGAACAGAGTGGTCACTGTGTCTGGAATGACCATCAACAAGCCTGTGTGTGGTGTTTCTGTTGGGAGCGTGTGTGTGTGCGTGCGTACGTGTGTGTGCGCGCACTGACATGGTGCGACCCTGACATCTATGTCTTTTTTGCTTCCACTGCGTGTCTGTGTGCATGTGTGTTAGCATGTGAGTGTGTGCGCGTAATAGTATATTTGTGTGAATAAATGTGTGTGCATGCATGTGTGATTATGGGAGTGTGCATATTTGTGAGTGAGTTTGTACATATGTGATTATGTATGTTAGGCTGTAATAGTGTGTATAGTTACATGTGTGAATGTGTGTGTGAGGGTGGCTGTGTGTGCACATGTGTGAATGTGGGCATGTGTATGCTGATGTGTATGTATTAGCACGAAAGTGTACAGATGTGTGAGTGTATGTGCATGTGACTGTACATGAGTAAAGATATGTGTGAGTGTATATAGATGTGTGTGTATGTGTGTATTAATGTGCATATGAATGTACATGAGTGTGGGTTTGTGTGTGTGAGAGTGTGCATGTGACAATGTGGTTATGTGTGAGTGTGTGTATGTGCATTGGATATATGGATGTGTGGATGGTGTTAACATGTGTAAGAATGTATAGGTAGATATGTGTGTGAGTGTGCATATGAATGTATGTATGTATGAGCATGCGTGAGTATACCTGAGGTGTGGATGAACATCTGTGTGGATGTGTAGGTGCATGTGTGCATGAGTATATGTGTTAGTGTGCATGTCCGTTTGTGTAAGAGGGTGTGTCGATGAGAGTGTGCATTTGTGTGTAGGAATGAGTGCATATATGAGTTCATGTGTATGGGTGTGTAGGTGGACACTTGTGTGTGAGTTGCATGAGTAAGTACATGTACAGGTGCACATGAATGTATGCATGTGTGAATGCGTGCTTGTGTATATGAGTCAGTGCATATATGTAATAATATATACACATGTGGGTGTGTGTATGGATGACTGGATGAGTATGTGTATAATGTAGACGTGTGTATAAATGCGTGTGAACATGTCCTTGTGTGAATGTGTATATGAGTGTGTGGGTATGTGCATGAATGTGTGTGAGTGTGCATATGGAGGTATATATGAATGCCTGTGTGAGTGTGGGCATGCATAATGTATGTGTTTGTCTATGAATATATCCTTGTGTGTATGTATATATATGAGTGTGTGCATATGTACTTGAATTATGTGAACTTGTGCTTGAGTGTGCATGTGGATGTGCATATGAGTGCCTGTGTGTGTCCTCATGTGAATGTGTGCATGTGTATATGAGTCTGTGTGTGTTTCAATGTGCATGTGTGTATGAGTGCCTGTGTGTATGTGTGTATGAGCATGTGTGTGCATAATGTGTGGCTGTATGTATGAATGCATGTGTGTGTACATCCTCGTGTGATTGTGTGTGAATCTGTGTATGCGTGTGTTTGAATGTGCATGTGTGTATGAGTATTTGCATGCATAAAGTGTGGCTGTGTGTAAGAATGCATATATATGTCCTCATGTGTGTGCGTGAATCTGTGTACATGTGTGTATAAGTATGTGTGCACATAATATGTGGCTGTGTGTAAGAATGCATATGTGAGTATGTTCTTGTGTGAGTGTGTGCACGAATCTATGTGGGTGTGTTTGTGCATGTGTGTATGAGTGTGCATAACGTGTGGCTCTGTGTATGAATGCGTGTGTATGTTCTCATGTGTGTGCATGTATCTGTGCATGTATGTATGAGTGCCTGTGTGAGTTGCACAGAGCTGTCTCTCCCTGCCAAGTGGTTGCTCCCTACATAGGTGTCCACAGAGGACAGCAGCTTGTCTCTGAGCTGAACAGGAGACACTGGCCTTCTGGCTGCCTGGGGTGGGAGGACTGTGGAGATCTGTGGACTCGGCAGTTGTGTCATGGCTGTCAGTGTTTGTTGTTTATTGTTGTATAGTTGATTGGTTGTTTGGAGGTTTGAGTTAGCTGGCTGCTTAGTTGCTGCTGATTGGCTGTGTGCCTTCATGTGGCCATCACCAAGTGCTGCCAGGCAAGATGGACCCTGCAGTTGCTGGGGCAGCAGGTAACAACTGACCTGTCCAGCTCCCAGCTACCATGGCTGTGGATTTGTTTAGCATTACCCTTCTCTCAGGAGGAGCCTTGCTCCTGCCAGTGTCGCTGCTTCTCTGAGTGTCCTGTGTGCCAGAAGGGAGGAGAGGGCTCACTGTGGCCAGCCTGCTGGGAGGGGCTGAGCCCCTCCTGTTCCTGATCCCGATCTTTGCCCGGAACACCTGTCTACAGGAGCTGGTCTCCTGGCAAATCCTTCAGGCCCAGCCTTGTGGACCAAGAAGCCTAGGCTCTGCTGAGCTGTTGCTGACTATGGCCTGCCTCGGGGGGCGCTGTCCCCAGTACCACCACCTTGGATACCTGCTGTTGGCTTGCCACCATGCTCACTCTTCTGCAGAGGATGACTCTTCTTTGCTCCTGGGATTAGGTCCTCATAGCCTCAGAGTGTCCCTTGCAATAAACTAAGATGGACGCCACCAGCTCACTCCAGTTTCCACCCGGCATGCGGCAGTCGGCTTGGGGCAACCTGGATTTGTTTTGGGGTTGGTCCCAGAGGTTCTTCTTCTGCTCCACCCTTAGGCTGGCTTGAGACCTTCCTAGCTCTACCTAGAGTGTGGCTTTGAGCATTCCAGGGGAATGGCAGATCTAATCTGACTAGAGACACTTTGGGAAGCGGCCCGACAGGGCAAGGGAAGGGTGGAGCCTGTGCCCCAGGCATGTGGAATGAGGCCTCTGTCTCAGGTGTGCAGGGCAGCATCTGTGTCTCAGGTGTTTATTGGGAGGTCTCTATCCCAGCTGTGCAGAGTAGCATGTGTGTCCCAGGTGTGCAGGGCAGATTCTACATCCCAGGTACATGGGGCATGATCTATGTTCTAGGTGGGACCAGGTCTCCGGGCTCCATGCTGCTCTCTGTCTGTCTGCCTGTGCTGGGAGTGGGCCTTGGCATCTCTCTGTCTGCCTGTCTTTTAGACCTGCTGGTTGGGCTGACAGGGCTGACTCTGTATCAGGGAGCAAGACAGGACCCTTTGGCCCTTGGCTGTTCTCCTCGGAACATCTACAAAGACCAGGAGAACCACCTCAGTACCCCGGAGCCAACTGTCTGCCTGGCAGGAGGCAAGCAGGTGCCCAGTGAATGCATAGACACTCACACTGGTGTGTGCATACACCTAGAGGTACCAGCACACATCCACTCATTTATCCCAACACCCTTCCACCATGTATTGATGAACACATGCACCCCCTGGAACACAGGTGCACGTACATGAACACATATACTCACAGACAAACACACGGGACACACATGTACACAGGACACAGCACATACTCACACACTTGCACATACATAATTAATATACTTGCCCACACTGATACATGGCCATGCACACATGTGCATAGTCACACACAGACACATGCACACGCGTACATGCAGGCACACACAGAACACGCTGGCACATATGAACATTCACATAAGCGTCCAGCACACAGCTGTACATGCATGTACATACATCAGCACACAGACACAAATACACACACTAGGACACACACAAATGATTATGTATACACAGCCTCACACACTCCTGCTCACAGTTGTGCACACTCACACAGAGGTGCAGTCTTGCGCACACATGCACATAGCACACTCACACACAGACACACATGCATGTACACCCTTCTGACACACACACACACACACACACACACACACACACGCCCATAAGGGCATACACATGAGTTGCAGGAAAAGTAGGAGTGTGTGTGTGAAGGCTCCTCCAAGCCCGTGCTTGGCTCCAGCTGCTCCAGGTCTCCCTGCACTCATCCTCGTCTTCCTCTTCTGGAAGACAAACGGTGACCTTTGCCCTTGACAGCTCATGATCTGGAGGAGTGCTGACAGGACACACACGGATGCCTGCTGCACCCACGCCGGCCCTCTCGTGTCTCTCCGCTGTCTCTGGTTTCTCACTTTTGTTTTGTTTTGTTTCTTGCATGTGCAGTTTTGTAAAGCAAACTCGAGGTACTGTATCTCGCAGCTCATCCGTCTCCAGCGTAAACTCACCGTGAGTCGCTCTGTTACAATCCCCACCGTGGCTTCATGATAACTACACACCAGCACCCTCCACTCCTAACCTAACTCTGCTTGCTCCTCAAGTCATCGCTTCACAGGCAGCTCTAAGGGGGGCCTCTCCGAAGCAGAGCAGGGGAGCAGGCCCTGTCCTGGTGCCTGGCCCCGAACTACACTGTGCCAGGCTCCTGGTTTCTGTCTGGTGTCTGCTGTCTGTCTGCATGCTCTGGGTCTCAAGTGCACTCACTCTGAGCAGCCTGCTCAGCTATTACTGTTTCCTCAGGATCCTGTGACACTGAAATTCTGTCCCCGTGGCAGGACCCTGGAGACAGGGTGGGGAGCAAGGACAGCTCACAGCTGTGTGTGCAAAATTCAACGAGGATGTTGAATAGTTGAATAGAGTTGCTAGTGGGAGGAGCTGAGGTGCAGGGCTGAGGACATAGGGATAGGATGTGGATAAATCTTGAAGAGGAGGAGGTGGGAATGTGGGGACAGGGACACAGAGATGGGGTGGGTACACCCTAATGGGGAGGAGATGGGAAATCAAGGACACGGGGACATGAGGACAAGGACACAGGGATGGGATGTGGATGGACCCTGATGGAAGAGATGACAAGGACATTAGGGCAGGGTTGGAGTGGACCTGAAAAGGGCATGGAACAAGGATGAATGGATGGACCTTGTCAGTGAGGAGATGGGGATGGGATGACAAGACACATGGTTAGGGTGTAGATGCACCTAAAAAGAACATGGGGACAAGTGTGGATGGACCTGGCAGTGACTTGGAGATGTGAATGTCAGGACTGGGACAAGTGTGATTGAACCAAAGGACATGGAGGTAGGGACATGGAGATGAGAACATGGGCACTAGTGTGGACAGACCCTGAGACACAGGGTCCCTGAGAAGAGACAAGATCGTGAGGAGGGGTACATGAAGGGACTGGCTGTCTTTGCCAGACTATTCAGTGTTGTGTCTATTACTGTGAGTCTTGGTCCTGGGGAGGACTGAGATGGCTGTAACCTTTGCTCCCATGCCCAGCTGATAGCTGGACTCCTGTACTGTGTGGCCCCTGAAACAGGGCAGGCTACTCTGGGAAGGGGACAGTACCATGGACGCATGTCTGCCACACACACAGACTTCATCTCCAGACAACTGCTCTGGCCACTATGTAGTCTATTGTGGGGGTTTGAGTTGGGGCCTCTGAGGGTCATGGGGGCACCCACACCTTGGAATTTCCCTCTGCCATGACAGACCCTTTGTTTGGCTCCTTTGAGGAGGATGGCAGTGGTGCCTGGTGCCTATACCTGGTCTGCCTTCTCACTGGGCTCCCAGTCAGAGGCCTACCTGTTTCTCCGCTCACTGATGCTGCCCAGCGGACTGTTGTCTGCAGGACTGAGCCCTGCCTACTCTGGTGTCTGTACAGGCCATGAGGACCGGCTCCCTCAGGCACTTGGTGGCCTGGAGTTCAGTCCTCGGCATGAGCCCCCCCTTCCCTCTGTGTGTCTGGTTCTGGCCCAGTCACTACCCTGAGGGCCTAGGAACTGGGAATTTGTGAGGTTCTGAGCACATGAGGCTCATGGCCAGTCTCCTGTGTGACTGACCGTTGACCCCATCCTTGGTGCAGGAGTTCAGGAGATTAAGGGTTACTCTGGCCCTCACAGGATTAGTGTGGCTGAGACCAGTGAGGGCAGGGACACCTGCCACACGCAGAGGGCACAGGTTCCCCATGCCATGTTGCACAGCTAGGAGCAGAAACTTGGTATTAAGCCTGACCACAGGTGCAGATGGTCAGGTGCCCATTATTAGATGCTGTCGCCGCCCATGTTCCCCTTGTCCTGCCTACATCCCCTCCATGCCGCACCCTCCCAGCCCTAATGCCTCTGCTGGAACACCCTGATCCTCCACACCCTGAGGCTGGGTCTCGGGGCTCCCTGCTCCTCTGGTGTCCACTCTTCATCCCTCCATTGCCGTGTGTCCATCTGTGGCTGTCCCCTGTGAGGCAGACAGGTGGGGGAGCAGGCAGGCCAGGGGTTGCTTACCTCTGCCTGTCCCCACAGCAGGCAGCAGAACTCAGCCAAGGCCCGGTCTGTGTGGGAGCAGCGGGCCAGCCAGCTTCGGCTACAGAACCTGCGGGCCAGCTGTGAGGCCCTGTACAACGAGATGGACCCCGAGGAGCGGCTGCACTATGCCACCACACGCCACCTGCGACCTGACATGAAGACTCACCTGGACCGGCCTCTGGTGGTGGAACCTGGCCGGGAAGGCCCACGGGAGGGCCCTGAGCCCACTGAGCCTGCCCGGCCACCATCTGGCCCGGCCACCGACGGCCCTGACCCTCCCCGACGACACCATCGCCACCGTGACAAGGACAAGCCTCCCGTAGTATCAGGTGCAGAGCAGGACAAGCCTGAGGCTCCCAAAGGCGAGAATGGAGAGGCAGGGCCCCGAGAGGAGCGGCCCCGGCTGCATCGCAGCCACAGCAAGGAACCCTCGGGGCCTCGGGAGGGTAGGAGTGAGCGACCCCGAGGCCCAGGCCCAGAGGGCACTGGCCGGCGCCACCATCGGAGAGGATCCCCCGAGGAGATGACTGAGAAGGAACCCCGACGCCACCACACCCACCGCCATGCATCAGACCAGGCCCGGGAGGGCGCCGGAACCAAGGGTGAGCGGCGGACACGGCACCGTGGGGGGCCCCGGGCTGGATCCCGAGAAGGAGAGGGCACGGAGGACCCGCCCCGGCGACACCGAGTGCGACACAAAGTGCTGTCCAAGCATGACTCCCTGGACAAGGAGGCCGCAGACAAAGAGGGCGAGAACCTAGACAAGGACAAGGAACTCCGGAATCACCAGCCCAAGTGAGTGACCAGTGGGTGGTACTGGGATCCATGGAGGGCAGACTCAGGTGATGCTGGCTGGCCGAGGTGGGCGATGTCCACAGGTCTGGGTGGAGGCCTGCGGCTGTGTCCTGTTTATATCTAGCCTCACTGACTATGGCTTGGTGTCTGAAGGGGGCACTCCCACCACACAGGGCTGACGTCCACGCTGTGAGGGAGGGGGTGACGGGAAGTGGCCAGTAGGTTTGAAAGAACCCAGGGAAGAGAGGTTTGGGAGAAATCAGGATGGACTGAGGACACATATTGTCTTGGGAGGGCTGGGAGAGGGAGGTGTGAGAGGCCAAGGGAAGGGAGGTAGATAGAAAAGGCAGGAGGCCTGCGGCCTGAGAGCAGGCTGTGAGGGGTCACAGGGAGATGATGGGCAAAGCCTGTGTGCTTGGATCTGGGCAGCCAGGAACCCGTTTCCACATACTGTCTGGTATATCTGGCAGGGGAGAAACAGACCTCAGCCGTGTTGCCTTCACGCACAGCTCTGTGCTGGGCTCCAGCCCACAGGCCCAAGCGTCTATGTAGACACCAGTCTTGCTTGGTATAGAGTCAGGGTGACAGATGAGGCCGGCCCATCCCTGCCTTCCAGACCCAAAATCCCCTTACTCTGTGTGGAGTAGACAGTGGAGTCTGGCAGACAGGTCAGGTTCAGGGCTGTGCCAACTCTGCCTGTGTGTTGGGTTGCAGGGATCCTCACTGTGATGTGGAGGCCCGTGGGCTGCTGGGCTTGGGCCCTGTGCACACACTGCCCACCACCTGTCTCCAGAAGGTGGAGGAGCAGCCCGAGGATGCGGACAATCAGCGGAATGTCACGCGGATGGGCAGTCAGCCCTCCGAACCAAGCACAGCCGTGCTCATCCCGGTGACTCTGATGGGCCCCCCAGCGGAGACCACCAGCGTGCCCAGTGAGTGTCTCCCTGCACTAGTGGGTGGTCTGCCTCAGCAAGTGCCCCTTAGGCCTGTGTGGGCCCTGCTCGCTGTCATGGGAAACCCTGTGTATGTCAGGCCCATGGCACCTTCTGCTTCTAGGAAAGTTAAATTGGAGAGTAACACTCCTTCCCTTTCCCAGATGTCTGGCTGCTGCTGGCTAGATGCCAACTGTGTCAGGGCTTTTCAAAGCCACGGAGCAGACCAGGCCTTTGCTGTGGTGGCATTTCTGGTCTAGTCTGTTCCATGGCAGTGAACGTTGCTAATTCCAGCGGCCTCAGACCTGGCCTGCAGCGTTCCCACCTACATGTGCCCCATGGCCCCTGCAACTGGACCCCAGGCCATATGGACAGACTTTCTATGCCAGACACTCTCCTTCGTCTGCCTCATCACTCATATTTCCACACAGATTTGTCTGTGTGGGGGCTCTGAGGACAGAGTTGAATGAGATACCCCCACATATGTAGTAGTTTCAATCTGGAAGGTGAGGAGACTTCTTGTGCTGTGGGGATGGTGCTGCTGTGGAGGGTCATGGGAGCCACAGACAAAGGATAGATGAGTTCTGCCTAGGAACCATTCCCAGCTCAGGTCAGATCACTCAGGCATGTATGTTTATGTATGTATGTGTTCACACACACGTGAATATATTCGCAGATAAGTTTACATACAGACACATACGTGCATAGACATGGCTAAACCTGGACACACACACATACCTGTTAACAAGGTGAGTCCATACACTGATGTGTGTATACATGTTCATAGATGTGTTTACACAAAGACATACACATGTCCCTGTTCACATATGTGTTCACACAGAGAGACATGTATATTATTTGAAGGAATGTCCTAAGAAGTGTGTATCTGTGCACATGTTCACATATGCAAGCATGTTTTCAGTTTTCATAGACATGCAATATGTAATCTGCATGAGTCCACAGTCATGCCTACATATTTGAATATGTGTCCACACATGTGTGCGTATTCTCAGATGTGTCTACGTATGTGTACATGTTCACAGAACTTTCCGCAGACACATGTTAAGTCTGCAGATGTATCCATAGTTGTGTTTACATGTGTTCACACCCAGACATGTGTGTGTACCCCTTTGTGTGAGCCCAGATGCTTTTACTTTTTTGTTGGGGATGTAGTCCAGCGATGACAGTGAGGGTGACCCTGACAGCTCAGCTCTGCTTTTACTCCTCTTGCTGGGTCCTTTTCTGTGACTTCATTCCTGTTGGCTCCACTAAGTCTGTCCTTCTAGCCTGTGCTGTAGACTGAGAATCTCAGCCACATGCTACGGTGTTTCAGGGTTTGTTTAGAGATGAACACCAAGGGCTGGTGGTCTTAGGGTTCCCAAGCGGGTTTTGTCTACAGCAGTCTGGATGTGGTCCTCAGGCCCTTAGTGAATATGCCAAAAGGATGTTTCTCCTGCGTAGTCACATGTCTCTCCCCTTATCTACTCAGTCTTAAGTCCCCACATTGACCTTGGCCTTCAGAAAGACTGGATTTCTGAGAACCCTTTAATGTCCTATTCATGTACACTTGAGCACACACGTGCACGCACGCATTTAGGGACACACATGCTCATGCATGCGCACATACACTCATGAAACACACACCTCTGTACTAGTGCACATGTACACACTCACACACGTACATAAATACACTCTTGAACATGCATAGCATAGTCACTTTATGCTGGTGGTACATTTGTGCACCTTGATCTCAACACCTTTAAGATGGCAAATTGACGGTATTCTTATATTGCTTTCTGGTCCTCCCTCTGCATTTTGTGGTCTTTCCAGTGTCTGTCCTCATGCTAACCTATGAGCTCAAGCCAAGTCTCCAGGGATATTTGCAAGACACTCAAGTGATGAGTTCTCTATAGTAGACTTTTGTATGTGAAAATGTTAAACTTTCAATTTAAAGTAGTTTCAATTTCATTTGGTAGTAAGTTTTGGAACTTTGTGCCTTTCAAGGAATTTTTCTTATTTCACCTGAATTTTTTTAAATTTACTTTTATTGGCATAAAGTTATTAATAATATTCCCTTAATATTAGTAAGCTCTATAGTGAGGCACTGCTTTAACTTCTGCTACTATGATTTATATCTCCCTGTTTTGTCTGGATCAGTGTGGTTAGATAGAGCACTCTGATGGTGTGGTTTGTGGGGAACTGTGCCGCTAGCCCAAAGCCAGCACTTTTCTGAAAGTTTGAATTCACCAACAGCCGCTCAGGAGGAAGAGGAAGGTTGCTATGAGTCTGTTTCAACTTGATGACAATGAGGTAGATGAAAGGTGCATAATGTGGTTAACTACTTCTACTGATTATCAAATAATCATTTGGTTTTATGGATTTTCTCAATTGTTTTTCTGTTGTGTTCAAAATATCCTCTGTATTCCCTTATGATTTCTTTTGTGATCCATAGATTGTGTTATTTTTCTTCTAAATATCTGTGGAATTTCCAAATATCTGTCTGTACTGAATTTTAATTTAATCCCACTGTAATCAGAGAGTATGGTTTGTGTGAATTGAATGATTTTATTAAGACTTATAACCCAAAATATGATCTGTCTTGATAAGTTTGTGTGTACTTAAGAAGAGTATGTATTAAGGTGGAGTATTCTATCACTGTATATCAGATCAAAATTATTGTTGTTGTTATGTGCCATTGAGTTGCCTGCCACTCAGCAACCCTCTATACAACAGTTCTGATCCCTCCCCTGTCCTGAGCCAGTCTCGCTGTCTCCAACACACCTACCCCCATTACTCCAGTCACTGAGTCAATCCATCTCATCCAGGATCTTCCTCTCTTGTGCTGTCCCCTCCACCCTTCCAAGAATAATGTCCTTCTCCAAGAACTGATCCCTCCTGGTAACATGCCCAAAGTATCTGAGACAAAGCCTCAAAAATCTTACCTCCAAAGGAGCGGATTGTTTCACCCTTTCCATGACTGTTTGTTCAACTGGCAGTCTATGATATGTTCAGTATTCTTCTCTAGCATCCACAACTCAAAGGCATCAATTCTTCTTCTGTCATCTTTGGTCATTGTTCAGCTCTCTGATGCATAGCAAGTAATTGCAAAGACCATGGCTTGGATCAGGCACACCTTAGCTTCTAGACTGACCCTTCAGTTCTCTGGAGAGGTCCCTGACAGCAGATTTTCCCAGTGTAATTTGTCTTTTGATTTCCTGAGTGCTGGTACTAAGAGTGTTGATTGTGGATCCAAGCAAGCTGAAGCTGTTAATAATCTCAGTCTCTTCACCATCTATCATGATGCTGCCAATTGACCTAGTGCTAAGAATCTTTGTTTTCTTGATGTTGAACTTCAATCCATATTGAAGACTATAGTCCTTGACCTACTGCAGCAGATGCTTCAGGTCTTCAGTTTCTGCAAGCAAGGTTGTATCATTTGTGTAACACGGGTTGTTGATGAGACTTCCTCCAATCCTGATGCCACTTTCTCATAGAGCCCAGCCTCCACGATGATCTGTTTTGCATATAGATTGAAAAGGTACGGAGATAGGATGCATCCCTGGTGTACACTTTTCTTGATTTTGAACCATGCAGTGCTTCCTTGCTCTGTTTTGATGTCCGCCTCCTGGTCCAAGTATGTTGTTGTTGATTGCCTTCGAGTTGAACACAATTCATAGCAACCCTGTGAACAAAAGGTCTGAAGCCCCTCTACAACTATCAACATTTATCAAAGTTCCTAGAGTTTCCACAGGCATGTTGTTTAGCTTCCAAAACTGTCATAGAATGTTATTGGTTGAGTTGCATGCGGCTCAAGTATAGGTTTCTCATAAGCAGAAGCAAATGTCCTGGAATTTCCATTCTTCTCAGAGTCAGCCACAATTTGTTACCCACACAGTCAAACGTCTTCGCATAGTCAATGAAACACAGATAGAGATTCCTCTGGTACTCTCTGCTGTCGACTAAGACCCATTTGACATTAGCTATAAAATCCTGCGCGCCATGGCCTCTTCTAAACCCAGGCTGAACAGCTGGCAGTTCTCTGCTGATGCGTTGTTCCAGTCATTTTTAGATAATTTTCAGCATGATCTTGCTTGTGTATGTTATTAATGATATTGTTTGATAATTTTCACACTGTTGGGTCACTTTTTTTTTGGAATGGGAACATATATGGATCTCTTCCAGTCAGTTGGCCAGGTAGTTGTCCTCAGATTTCTTGGCACAACTTGGTGAGTGCATCCAGGGCAGTGTCTTTTTTCTTCAAATATGCCAGTTGGTATTCCATCAGTTCTTGGGGTTTTGTGTTTTGCCGGTTCCTTCAGAGCAGCTTGAACTTGTGTTTTCATCACCATAGGCTCTTGATCATGTTATTTCATTAAATTCTTCTGTGTTGGCCAATTCTTTTTGACACATGACTCTGTGTACTCCTTCCATCTTCTTTTGATGGTTTTTGGATTATTCAGTATTCTGCCCAGAGCATCCTTATGCATTGCAACCCAAGACCTAAATTTGTTCTTCAATTCCTTTGGCTTTAGAAATGCTGAGTGAGTATGTCCCTTTTAAGATTTTCAAATTTCAGCTCTTGGCACATTTCATTATAATACTTTACTTTGTCTTCTCATGCTGCCCTTTGAAATCTTCTGTTCATCTCCTTACTGTCTTGATTTCTTCCCTTTGCTTTGGTTTCTTGGCGTTCTAGTACAATATTCAGCATCTCTTCTGACATTCGTTTTGACGTTTTCTTATTCCTCCATCTTTGTAATGACCTTTTGCATTCTTCATGGATGATATTCTTGATATCCTCCCACAGCTCCTCTGTTCTCCGCTCATTTGTATTCAAGGCCTCAAACCTGTACCTGAGATGGTATTTAAATTCAGAAAGGATAGACTCAAGGTCAGACTTTGATTCTTGTGGCTTTTATTTTCTTTAGCTTCAATTAGAACTAGTAGTTGATGACCTGTTCCACCATCAGCACCTGGCCTACTTTTCACAGCTGATACTG